GACCAAACTCCCTTTAGAATTTAACATCCTAATGTCCTCTATTCTGAAAAAAACCTGCCTATATATTTTGTTAAGAGCTAATGTTTCAACAATTACATTTCTGGGAATCTAACCAAAGAAAGTAATTCTATTATTATCTATAACTGGAAAAACTGGCAATAAATTCAATGTCCAGGAAAAGAAGACTGCAAATGTGGCACATGATCCAGATGGGTTCATGACACAATCACTAAAGAGTATTGATAATGTATTGTGAAAGTGTTCTGTGGCAAAGTGATAAAAGCACTGTGTGTGTGTTTAGTGTGGAGTCAGTTCTGGCTGGGTCATATGTAATTCTGACTTGTCCAGCTTGTCTGACATAGTTGTGAAGTTAGTGGACACATAAGCACCTATTTGCATAAGTTGACTCCAATGAGTATTTTAATATTTTGTATTCTGGACCAAAAAAGTCAGAAGATACATACACAGTGTCCGGGGATGAGGACACAGAGGACAAAGCGGGACTATGGCGATTAACTCCTTGGACTGATTTTTGAGCTCCTTATAGAGCTTATGGGCAAAACCAAATCCTTTTATTATATATTTTCATAGGGCCATGTACCTCTGCTTTATTTCACTTATCACAACAGTAATCTGTGTAATTATTTAATTAATGTCCATCTGCCATCTGGTCTATAAGTCCCATTAGGGCAGGGTCTATCTGTTCTGCACTACTACCTGACATGTAGTCATGACAGTCAAGGAAAGGAGGGGAGGGAAAGAAGAAAGAGAAGGTAAAGGGAGAGAGAAAAGGGGGTAAGGAAAGAAGGAGAAGCAGCAAAATGTTTATGAAGGACACGGTGGTTCCAAGGGACAGCACACTCTCAGACTAGGGGAGCACACTTTCATTGTTTCCACTTAGAACACAGCAAGGCCAGCAATTAGTGAAATCAACAGGAAGGGGGCAAGGGGATGCCTTGGCACACGGCAAGTCCGGATTCTCTGGCAGGACCAGCAGTGTGAGAGAGCACCGGCAAGGGTGACAGAGGCCCAGCAGGAATGTGGCAGGAGAGCAGCAGGATACTGAGGCATGGATTTGTTCCTGTATTGTCAGTAGTCTGAGGCCAGGGATACCTGGACATATGGGGAAGGGCTTGAGGAAATGCCCCCATAAGGCCTAAGTGCAGGTGGGGATGTGAAGCCAGTAACATAGAGACGTCAATGCTAGTATGACCTGCTTTTAACCTCAAGCAGCTATTGCTAAGGACATCTGATATGCCCCAAAACTAAAACCAAATAAAGGTTATCAAAATGGTCATTAGGTCAATGGTTGTGATGGCTTTTCCCCTCTAATGTTCATAACTAGTTACTTTTATAATAAAAAGAAACACATAATAGGAAAAACTGTGTCTCACTTGAAGAACTATTTTCTTTTAGCAGATGCTAAGAGTTTTGTAATCCACTTTCTGCCTTTTCTCCAGTTCTAAGAAAACTCAAGAGTCAAATTTTGACTTCAACCACAGCAACAATTAGTGAAATAATCTAGATAATTGCTTTCTTCTCATTCTATAGAGCTGAGGGCCACCAGGAAAAAAAAAAAATTCTCCAAAAGCTTGTCTATTTTGTTTACTCCTGTTGACATGAATCTTTACTGTGCTGGGGCAGAAAATTTTTCATCTACCCTTCAAAGGTTCTTCCAGCTGGTATAACAAGTTGACATGAGACAGATTAGCAAGAGAAAATCAAATTTAATTTTGTATGTATGGGAACCCCACATACATGAGAGGTTCAAAGAAAGGAATGGGATAGAGGCCTGGGGTTTCAAAGAGGAGGAAGGCAATTCACAGGGAAATAAGAAAAAGAGCAGATGTTTTAGATGTAATTAGATGTTTATCTGAGACAGGTTACTCAGATAAAATTTTGTCTCTGGTATTAACTCTAAATCTGGGAAAGACCCCAGTTTAAATTCTTCTAGATAGTTAAGGGAATGGCAAAAAGTTTCTCTTGGGCCTATAGGGTCTCAATTGCCTTCAGCTCAATTACCACATGCCAAATTGGCACATTGTAGGGAGACTTGCTCTGAAGCTCTTCAACCACATGAGTTAGTTCTTAAATATATACACTCCTCACTATACTACTCACACTGTTGTATGTGTATGAATCAATCACTTTTTCAATGAGACCAGTGACTCTCAATGAGAGGTATAAAGAAGAGAGAAGGGATTAGAAGATGAAAGCATGGCCTGACAGATCAGATCAACCTGGATGTCCCTTTCTAGATTACATAGCAGCTTACCTGCACCCTCCCCAAACCACAGGCATTGCTGCCATGGTGGGATTGATGTGAGAAACAAAGGCAGAAGAAAAATTATTAAATTTCCTTACTACCTACAGCCCATTGACAAGTCCTTGAAACAGGCAGAGTGACATTCCTCTCATGGATTCAGTTGCCTTGATGTTAATACTTAGCTAAGGGCAAAAGGCAATCCTAGCCTGACCTCGCCCCCCACCCCCCACCCCCAACCAGGATCCTGTACGTCTACTTTAATGTATAAAAATTCCTTTGGAAACTTCCATTATCTCTAAACCCCCCAGGCATATGGCCCACCGATAGACATCTGAAGGGTCTCATGACTAAGGTCTTATTAGGCTGTAATAAATGACCTTTTCCCAACAATAGCTAGCCCCTCAAGGTCCTGGAAACCTTGCTTCCAAAATTCTTTAGAGACTTACATTATCTCTAACCCCCTCCCAATTTGAAAGTATGTAACGGCTGGGGCACCTGTGTGGCTCAGTTGGCTAAGCAACTGCCTTCAGCTCAGGTCATGATCTCAGGGTCCTGGGATCGAGCCCCGCATCGGGCTCCCTGCTCGGCGGGAGGCCTGCTTCTCCCTCTCCCACTCCCCCTGCTTGTGTTCCCTCTCTCGCCGTCTCTCTCTCTGTCAAATAAATAAATAAAATCTTTAAAAAAAAAGAAAGAAAGTATATAATGGGCCACTCCTCATGACCCCATTGCAGCTCTTTCTGCCCACGGGTCCTGTCCCTGTGCTTTAATAAAATCACCTTTTTGCACCAAAGAAGTCTCAAGAATTCTTTGTTGGCCGTCCGCTTCAAACCGTAACGTCTTTCCTACATTAGGATGACATACCCATGGGAGCTGTTATACTCTGGAGGGAAGTTAGGAGGTAAAAAGAATTAGTAACCAGTGGTAAGGATCATTTTTCACTAAAAGATGAATTTTGGAATCAAAAGCTTATTGGTTTCAATCCTGGATTTAACACTTACCCTATGTTTCTCATTTTCAAATGGATATAAAAATCCCTTTCTTTCAATATATGAATATTAAATGTATTCTAAGTGCTAGTAAATAGAGCTCAGAAAATGCCCTTTAGGCATTATTTTTCGAGTAGACTTGAGAGCTCCTCTACACCGGAGTTTCTCAATCTTGGCACCATTGACAATTTTAATGGACCAGATAATTCTTAATGGGGGGGGGTGCTATGGGCTAAGTTGTGTTACGTGACCCTGCCACTCATATATTGAAGTTGTAAACCCCGGCACCTCAGAATGTGAATGCATTTGGAAACAGGGTTTTTAAAGTGATAATTACAGTAGAGTGAAATCGTATGAGTGGGCCCTGATCCAATATGATTGCTGTCCTTTTAAGAGGAGATTGTCACGCAAACATGTGCAAGCGAAGAGGAAAGATCATCTAAGGACACAGCAAGAAGGCGGCCATCTGCAAACCACGGAGAGAGATCTCAGAAGAAACCAACCCTACTGACTTCATCTTGGACTGCCACCCTCCAAGAACTGGGAAGGAAAAAAAAAAATCCTTTTGTTTAAGCCACCCAGTCCATGGCACTTGGTTATGGCAGCCTAAGCAAACACTGCATGAGGGTTGCCCTGTGTGTTGTAGTATGTTCAGAAGCATCCTTGGTCTCTACCCACTGAAACCAGTGGCAATCCCCTAACACTACAGTTGTGACACCCAAAAATGTCTCCACACTTTGCCAAATGTCTCCTAGGGGCAAAATCTTCCTCCCTGCCCTATGGAGAAACAGCCCTACTGAGAACCACCATTTCGGATGGCCTCTGGTCACCTCCATTTTCCCAGTGCTCACTGATGCAGGAAACAAAGGCAGAAAAAAAATTATTAAATTTCTTTACTACCTATACCCCAATGACAAGTCCTTGAAACAGGCAGAGTGACATTCCTCTAGGAACTCTGCTGCCTAGATGTTAATACTTTGCTAAAGGCAAAAGGCAATCTTAGTCCAACCCCCAGGATGCTGTAAATCTACTTTAACATATAAAAATTCCTTTGGAAACTTCCTTTATCTCTACCCCCATAAGATACAGGTTGGCAATCATCCTCCAAGCATATGACCCACTGATATACATCTGAAAAGTCTCATGACTGAGTTTTTACTAAACAGTAATAAATAACCTTTTCCTAACAATTGCTAGCCCTCTTTCCTAACAATAGTTAGCCCCCTCAGGATCCCGGGGAACTCTTGTCAAAATACCTGGGAGGCTTATGCTATCCCTAAACCCCTCCCAACTTGAAAGTATATAATGGGTCACTCTTCATGACCCCAGTGCAGCTCTTTCTGCCCACGGGTCCTGTCCCCGTGCTTTAATAAAACCATCTTTTTGTACCAAAGACGTCTTAAGAATTCTTTCTTGGCTGTCGGCTCTGAACCCTAACATCTTTCCTACATCACTCGGCACAATGATGGCTACCTAAGAAGATAATCATATATTTTCTGAATAAAGTCACCTGCCTGGTTCCCCATCTTGGGTCTCACTACTCCCTTGCAAACTCCTTTTGCTGTGTTTAAAAAAAAAAAAAGAAAAAGGGGGCGCCCTGGGTGGCTCAGTCGGTTAAGCGACTGCCTTCGGCTCAGGTCATGATCCTGGAGTCCCGGGATCGAGTCCCGCATCGGACTCCCTGCTCCGCAGGGAGTCTCCTTCTCCCTCTGACCCTCCCCATCTCATGCTCTCTCTCTCTCATTCTCTCTCTCTCAAATAAATAAATAAAATCTTTTTAAAAAATAAAATAAAATAAAATAAATTAAAAAAAGAAAAAGGAAAAGAAATAAAAGGCTCAAAATGGAGTCACATGCCCCCACAACAGCAACCAAAACATAATTGCATTGCAGGAATGTGGCCTCACACTGGAATTTCCTGATCAGCATTACTGAGGTCTTCTGCAAGATAGACCCTAGCCCTTCCCTCAAAAGGTGACCTTGCCTACACCAATCCTTTCTTTTCTTTTGCTAATGACTTCCATCCCTCCTTCCAACCCTGTTTCTGCTTTAAAAACCATCCATTTTGTATGGCAACTTGGTGCTCCTTTCTACTTGTAGATGGGATGCTGCCTGATTCATGAATCCCTGAATAAAGCCAAGTAGATCTTCATATTTACTTGCTTGGATTTTGTTTTTTACAGCTGCAATTAAAGTAGTAATTACTTCCAGTTTAATTTATAGTAGGCTGTGCAATTTTTAATGAAACAGTTTTCATTTTAGCATAATTTCTGGCAATTCAGTGACGTAAATATCACATCAATGTTAAACTTTATCTTGCTTGATATTGCTCACTTACCTCACATCAGATCCTTTGATAGATTCAGTGAGTGGTGCTACTTTTAGTTTCCTTAATGCACCACTCATAATTTCGCAGATGAAATGACTATGACAAATTCTTACATAACCATCTGAAGCTCAGGGAACTCAAAAAGAAAACAAATGGCCTTTTAAGTGTGCAAGCGCTGAACTCTAAGTCATAATGAGACTCCACACATTATCCAGAAACCCAAAGCATACCAAAGAGCCAAAGTCAATGGAGACATTCTTTGGAAAGGGGAAGTCACAAACGCCTCTCTGGCACATTCATAAATTTGTTGTCTTAACATTGGCGCGTGTGCTGTCATGTTATTTGAAAGCTGATGTGTTTGGGCTGGGAGTGATGTGGGGGCAGGGGTGGAGAGGGCTGACTCTGAGATGGTGAAGAGCGGCGTTAGGAACTCTGGAAGAACTGGGACCTGATGGACATTTTGCACAGAGACAATTTCTGACCAAGTCTTTCCAGTGATTTGTAGCTTGTACTCAACTATCCATAAGACACTATTTCCAGGACATTATTTTAAATTGATACAGTCTCTTCATTTACAAAATTCATTTATTGCATACTTTTTGTTTAATAGCTGGGAGTCAGAGTGGTAAAGATTTGATTTACCCAAGTGAAAAAAAAAAAAAAAGACTAATATCATTTTGAAGTGCCATTTCCAAAGAATACGCCAATGTTTCAAAGTTAGTGTTTGTGACTTTTGGTTTCGATACAAACATCCTACTCCAAGTGACAAATGACTACATTAAATTCGGGCAATGACCATCACGTAACTGCTTGTGACAGGCATGCTGGCATCTGGGCATCAGGGGCTGACACGCACCAAAGAGGTGATTTTATGACAACCTGCCTTTCCAGAAATACAAAGGCTCTTAATTCCTCAGCTGCTCCTTGTGACAGAGAGGTTGAAAAGAATCCTTTTCTCAAGTTAGTTTCTACATGGAAGAGGAGAATGTCTTAAGGATATCCTGAAATTTAGAAACAAAACTCTTTGTCAAGACGTCTGTGTACTCTGCAAAGTTGGCAGACGTGTGGCTGTCAATATTTTTAGAGAGAGATGCTTTAGAGATAGGGGATAATTGACCAAGTGAGGATGTTTCAGAACTTATTTTTCCCAAGAAAGGCAAAAAGTATGAAAATCAGCTAACCATCATATTGAGAAGTCAACACCTTCACTTGGGCATTTATGAATATGAAGTCTGTGTGGCAACCCAAAGTGCCACACTCCAATCACCACACTGGAAAAGTCAGCAAAGCCCTCACTAATTCCTATTCCGCTTATTTCTCGGCTCAATCTCAGCACCCTCCGCTGATCTTGTTCGACGATTCTGTCTTGGACTCATTTCTGTATCTTGAAGATCATTTCTGAAAACAGAAAAAAGGAAACAGTATCTCAGAAAATAATGATCATGATTATTCTACAGCAGCTTCTAGCTGACAAGTGCTTTCACATGCACTATTTCATTTAAACCTCCAAACAGTTCTCTACTCCAATGGCAAGTCTATAATAATTATCATTACTGTTATTATTATACACATTTTGTAACTGAGGAAACAGTGACTAAGCAAAGATTACAGGCCATAAGTGACAGAAGCAGGAACTGAATCCCTTTCTTCTGAATCAAAATCTAGAATAGCTTTACGCTTTGCTTAACATGAAGAAAACTGCAAAAAAAAAAAAAAAAAAAAGGTGCTGGTATCCTAACAACAAGACAAAGTCAGTGTCTAACAAAATCATTCTCTTGATCCTGAGAGCTCAGGTTGTAAGGCAGGAAAACAAAATTCCAAAGAAAGATAAGCCCCACCAAAGAGAGGTGGACCACACAAATTCTCTCACTTTTTTTTTTTTTAAAGATTTTATTTATTTATTTGACAGAGAGAGACAGCGAGAGAGGGAACACAAGCAGGGGGAGTGGGAGAGGGAGAAGCAGGCCTCCCACCAAGCAGGGAGCCAAATGTGGGGCTCAAACCCAGGACTCTGGGGGATCACGACCTGAGCCGAAGGCAGACACTTAACAACTGAGCCACCCAGGCACCCCAAATTCTCTCACTTTTGACACAGAACTGGAGAAAGGTGGCTGTTATACAACCAGATAAGAGGACATGAGCTAACATTTTAATGAATTCTGAACTATGGGCTAGTACCAAAGGCCCCTCACACAAGGAGAAGCCACATGCACTGGCAAGCTCTTTTCCAGGAGCCTCAAGTCAAGTTCTCATAAGAAAGACTGGGAGCAGGGCGGGGAAACTGAGGAAAGCCCACTTTGATGGCACAGGATAAAGCTGGTGAATGGGGGTGACAGGGGTCAGGCAGAAAGCCCTACATCTTCCCGGGACTATTCTCTCCTATGAAGTGAGAGCTTTCAGCTGCTGAGGGAAACTCACTGGCCCATGGGAATCAGGCAAAGATCTACTATCTCTGGAGGAGGGGCAGAATGCTTGAATGGGAAGTTTGCCTGAATGGGAAGAATAGGAAATCATTTGCAAGAACACTGGCAAAGATTCTTTGCTGCTGGGGAAATGGTAGAAATAAAAACCTCTACCTCTGGAGGAAGGGCAGAAAATCATCTTGGGCTGATGATCTCAAACAATACCAAGCAAAGGCTTGGGCAAGGCATTCTGACTACCATGGAGGGGGGTCGGGGAGGTGGCAGAGAAAGCTCCACCCCCAAGATCCAGGCATACAGGGCCTGCCCAAGACCACAGCTGGAACAAGACAACATAGAGCCCCAGCAGGCTCCTACCAGTAGCCAAGCACCAAGTAATAGGCAGTAGCAGTAAACTGCTGAAGGAGAGGTCAGGACATGGAGAGATGGCCCTCTGGGATGCAAGCATGCAGACAAGGCTGAAAGGTAAGTAAGAACAAAATCATTGAACAAAAGCTTCCCACAACCCAGCCCCCACACTAAGCACAAGGTAAAAGCAGCCCACTGATTGAGGAACTTGATGCCTCTGATACACTGAAGGTCATGTTAGGAACCAGGAAATTCCAACCTGGGTCAACTCCCCACACTAATGGCCTAAGAGAAGCAGCAGCATGCCTGTTTCCAGGCACAAAGTCTATTTTTACCTCAGTATCTACGGCCCTTCTCAGGATGTCTAGCATCCACACAAAATGTACAATGCACAAAGAAGAAAAACCAAATAAAAAGTCCATTGTCAAGATATAAAGTAACCAAGAGACACAGACAGAATGACTCACATGTTGGAACCATCAGACTAAAACTTTTAAATAACTATGATTAATATGGTAAAGTCTCTACGGATAAGCTGGAGGACATACATAGACAGACGGCTCCAGGGGTGGCTCTGAAAGACAAAGATCGGTACTGTCCCTCCCTCTCCGTACCTCCCAGAGTCTAAGAGGTTCCTCCCCCACTGTCAGCACTGTTGCTTTCTCCACCTCCACAAAATCGCATGTTCCTTTTTATTAGATGTAACTTTACCTTTTCTTTAATCATTCTCTACTCACACCCAGTCCTTTGACCCAGAAGAGTCGGATGTGAGAGGGTAAGGGCATTTTTATTAAACTTTTCAGAGACTCATTATGTTCCCCACTTTTTTTTTTTTTAAGATTTTATTTATTTATTTATTTGACAGAGAGAGAGACACAGTGAGAGAGGGAACACAAGCAGAGGGAGTGGGAGAGGGAAAAGCAGGCTTCCCGCGGAGCAGGGAACCCGATGTGGGGCTCAACCCCAGGATTCTGGGATCACAACCTGAGCCAAAGGCAGACGCTCAACGACTGAGGCTCCCAGGTGCCCTTATTTTCCCCACTTTGATGCATGTGGGCCATAGTAAGAAGACTCAGTGAGTAGTGTACTCTGCCAAGTCGTCACTAGCCTTTTGATTTAGGACAGGAGTTGGCGAACTCTTTGTGTAAAGGACTAGATATTTTGGGCTCTGAGGGCCATACAGTCTGTCACAACTACTGGATTCTGTTGTAATCGTGAAAAGAACCACAGCCAGCAGAGAAACAAATGTGTGTGGCTATGTGCCAATAAAACTTTATTAACAAACAGACAGCAGGCCAGATTTGGCCTATGGGCCATAGTTTGCTGATCCCTGACCTAGAACCATATCAGTCCAGCAAGTGAGTCCAACAACCTGAATCAGAATTAAGTGTGAATCCTCTAAGACCCCTCTTGGCCAAGCTGCTACCCAGAGGGTGTACCAATCTGGCCAGTATATGGTTGCTGTTAGGAGAAAGAAACAAGCATCATGCCCAGGAATAATTAAGAAGGAACCCTGAGTTTCTGAAATAGGTAAATATATAACCACAAAACCCTTTCTGTACTAATCATTACCCAGAAAGTGGCCAAAAGGAGAGGATTCCGTTCTGGGGACAGCAGCGTTCAGTGACCAAACTTCCTTACTAAGGTATGTGGACCAGAAGATGAGGGAGTTGATAATTTTAAAGGAGGCCATTCCAACATTCAATAATATTAGATGCCTGTAGATTGTAGGGAGGATAAAAAGTCCAGTGAATCCCTTGACCATCAGCCCATTATTGATTCCAGTCATTCCCTTCAAAGAATGTGCCCTTATTATTGATATGTACATGAGTGACCCAGATGGTTCACTCAGCACCCTTCAGGTTTGCAGCCTCAAAGCAGGGTATCTGCCAATCTGTGGCCTTCATGACCACTTTTATGACCTGTTTAATCTTAATTACCTCTTTAAAGGTTCCATCTCCAAATATAGTCACATTGGAGGTTAGAGCTTCAGCTTATGAATTTTAGAGGGACACAATTCAGTCCATAAGAGCAGTTCAGTCCATGGATCAGGCCATTCAGTTTGACAAGAACCTAGTAGCAAGCAAACAGCTATTTTTCAAAAGGAGTGTAACTGGTAGCTATGCTAGGCTGGACACAAGTCCAAAATCCCAAAGGGTGCCTCTAGGTGGAGGCTGCCTCCCTTTCTCAGAGACTCCAATCAGGAAAATCATTAGTCTTAAGACTTGTAGCTCTAAGGGGTCATTAGGGTTGTGGGACCTCAAGGGTATTAGCACTTCTTTATGTGTGGCTCTTCCCTATCAGAGAATTTGCTCTGGCACTTATTGGATGTGAAATTAGGAGTACATAACACATCAACTCCTAAACACATCCAAATTTAAAAACAATAGTACAATGAATTAGCCCAAAGGGCCCCATCTACAAGGTCACATTAGCTTCCCTTCCCCATTGTGAACCTTACCCAAACCCCATAAAGTCAATTCAGGTGCTTCCTTTCCCCACAGGACAGGGTAGGATGGTGAATCTGGTACCTATATCCAACAGAACCATAAAATCCCTTCCCAAAGTTCAGAAGCACATCCAGACTGGTAGATAGCCTTTCATCTCCTTTAGGGACAGGGGAACCTCAACTCCACTTCTTCTTCTTTTTTTAAAGATTTATTTATTATTTGAGAGAGAGAACGGGGGGGAGGGGCAGAGGGAGAGGGAGCAAGAATCCCAAAGTGGACCCAATGCTAAGCACAGGGACCGACATGGGGCTTGATCTCATGACCCTGAGATCACAACCTGAGCTGAAACCAAGAGTCAGTTGCTCAACTGAGCGAGACACCCAAGCACCCCTCAGCTCCAATTCTAATCAACAAAGCCAGAATAGCCAAAACAATTCTAAAAAAGAAAAATTTACTGACAACACCAAATGCTGGTGAGGATGTAGAGCAAGAAAAATTCTCATTCACTGCCAGTGGGAATGCAAAATGGCACAACCACTCGAACAAAGTTTGGCAGTTTCTTACAAAATTAAATATAGTCTGACCATACAATCCAGCAATTGTACTCCTTGGTACTTCCCCAAGGGCATTGAAAACTTATTTCCACACAAAATCCTGCACTTTGTTTTTAATTAGAAGATTTTATATATTGTATATATATCACTTTAATCATAATTGCCAAAACTTGGAAGCAACCAAGATGTCCTTCAGTAGGTGAATGGATAAATGAACTGTAATACTCCAGACAGTGGAATATTATTCAGCACTAAAAAGAAATTCCATGAGGTTTTGGAAACCTCAAAAAGACATGGGGCAATCTTAAATGAATATTACTAAGTGAAAGGAGCCAATTTGAAAAGGCTACATACTGTAGGATTCCAACTAAACGACATTCTAGAAAAAATAAAACTATAAAGACAGAAAAAAATCAGTGGTTGTCAGGAACTTGGAGAGAAGGAGAGATGAACAGGTGGAACATAAAGGATTTTTAAGGCAGGGAAACTATTCTGTATACTATAATGGTGGATACATGTCATTATACATTTGTTAAGACCCATACACTATAAAATACAAAGAATGAACTCTGATGTAAACTGGAAAAAGAACGTTAGAGGCCTCATACTAGCTGATTTCATGACATTATAAAGCTGCAGTAATGAAGACAGTGTGTGTTACTGGTGAAAAGACAAACATATAGATCAACAGAGCAAAACAGTGATTCCTGAAATAGACCCACACATATATATCCAATTGATTTTTGATTAAGGTACCAAAGTTATTAAATGGAGAAAGGATAGTTTCTTCAATAAATAAAGCTGGAACAAATGGAGACCCACATGTAAAAGAGAAAAATTGAATTTCAATCCATACTGTGCACCATTTATAAAAATCAACTTGAAATAGATTATAGACTTAAATGTAAACCCTAAAACTTCTAGAATGTAACAGAACACCATTGGGTTAGGTAAAGATTTCCTAGGTAGGACACAAAAAAGCACCATATGTAAAAGAAAAGAAAAAATTGATAAATTAGATTTCATCAAAATTTAAAACTGCTCTTTGAAAATCACTATCAAGAAAATGAAAAGGCAAGCCATAAAGTGGAAGAAAATATTTGCAAAACACGTTTCTGATAAAGAACTCATAAATCTCAAAAGTAAAAAACCACCCAATTTACTAAATGGGCAGAAAATTTGAGGAAGCATTTCATCAAAAGACATAGGGATGGCAAATATGCATGTGAAAGAAGTTCAACATCATCAATCCTTAGGGAAACGCAAATTAAAATGACAAAAAAAAATACTACTATAACTCTATTAAAATGGCTTTAAAAACGAAGAGCATAACCAAGTACTGGCCAAGATATGGAGCAACTAGAACTCTCATCCATTGCTGGTGGAATACAGCTGGGCAGTTTCTTATCAACTGAACATACACTTACCATATGATGCCATTCCTAGGTATTTACCAAAGAGAAATGAAAACTTATGTCCACACACAATACTGTACTCAAATCCTTCCAGCAGTTTTATTCGTAATCCCCCAAATCTGGAAACAACCCAAATATGCCCATCAGCTGTTGAATGGGTAAACAAAATGTGTTGCAAAAGAATTCTCATGGGGTTAAGATGAAATTCAGATTAACAGAGAAAATTATTCTTTTCTGATTTTATAAGAATATTAGAGAAAGCTATTTCCTCAAATTCCCTCTTTAAGGCACTATGAGATAAAGAGTTAAAACAATTCGTAAGTGAAATCCTTATCCATTCACAGGGGCTTGAAGCCACAGGAGCTGTGTCACTAACAGCTAGAATCCATTACTGAGTGCATTCAGATCTAATAAACACTGACTGACATATTCACTCACTCATACACTTTCTGAATGCCCATTATGGGCCACCCAGGCACTATGCTACACACATGAAGATGCAAGGTCCAATGCCCATGCTCTCTAGAAAGGCAATCAAGTGGTAAGTGCAGAGTGCGGCAGGAGCAGACTCAGGGGCTTCTGAATGGAACGGTGGAGAAAGGAATGACAATTCCCATCTAGAGGAGGAAAAGGGAAAAGGCAACTGAGGCAGAAGCAAAGGCACCGAAACAAGGTAACAGGACTCTCTGAGGTGACCGTGAGTAGTTCAGCTTAGCTGAAACAAGGAGTTGTGGGGTGCAGAGGGGATGCACGCATATGAAATTCCACGAGCCAGTAGGTAGGCTGGGGCCATGACAGTAAGAGCCTTGGATGCTGGCAAGTCCCTGAAGGACTTTAAAGTCCAACAGGAAGAACAAAGTGTGTTTCATATCTCACCGGCCGAATGAACTGTAACGACTAGAGGCAGCGAGGCATGGACGGCTGTTGCAGCAAAGCTAGAGAGAAGAGCAAAGGGCCTGTAGCCAGCCGTGGCACAAAGGGCTGACGGAGATATCACAGAGGGCCTGCGCAAGGTGGGGGCCCCAGAAGCAGCATTAGCAAACCTGGGACCGTGTTAAAAATGCAAACTATTAGGCCCCACCCCAAATCTACTGAATCACTCTTCGAATTGGGTAAAGCCCAATAATCTGTGCTTTAACAAGTCCTTCAGATGTCTGTGATGCATATGTAGGTCTTACCTATATGAGTTTTGCAGCTGACTCAATATGACAGGTCAGGGCAAGTGAGAGGTTGAAAATGATTCCTAGGTGTCTGGCTTGAACAGTGGGGCAGACTATCATACTCCATTCACTGAGAGAGGGGACAGCAGAGGGCCAGCAGCTCTGGAGAGAAGGGACTTAGACTCTCTGGGGCAGACAGATTTTCCTCACATTTTATATATTAAACAAACTGAAACCTAGAATTGTGAAATGATATACCAGGACCATTTCTCTTACTGTTTTCATCCTGTTTGATGTAAATATATTTTATAGATCAAAACAGTAAGATGAACCAGGGCGCCTGGGTGGCTCAGTTGGTTAAGCGACTGCCTTCGGCTCAGGTCATGATCCTGGAGTCCCTGGATCGAGTCCCGCATCGGGCTCCCTGCTCGGCAGGGAGCCTGCTTCTCCCTCTGACCCTCCCCCCTCTCATGTGCTCTCTCTCTCTCATTCTCTCTGTCTCAAATTAATAAATAAAATCTTAAAAAAAAAAAACATTAAGATGAACCAGTATTTACAGACATAAGAACCCAAGGCCAGTCTGTAGAAAATAGTTTTTGGTTTTTTGCTGCTTATGAAAATATTGTTTTATATGGAGCACTATGTTGCTAATAGAACCTCTCAATCATTTATGGAATTAAGAGAAAGAGAATTGGAACTGAAATAGTATGTTCTAGGACTACCATCTCAAATATGCCACTTGTGGTACCACAAAACATGCCTCTAAGCTTAAGATATAGAACTGCCAATTTTTGTTTAAAAGTAAAGCTTATGGAGGCTTTTCCTGATTCTGCCTCTAAAGCTACATTATGGCATAAGCTTGTTTGAACTGTTCTATGCTCAGCTGAAGTCAGGAGGCCTGGATTCTGATCTTGGCAGTGCCACTAACTAGCTGTGGACCTTGACCTGGTCAATTTACCACTCTGGAGTCCAGCTTCCTTCTCTATAACATGAAGGGATTAGATGAGATGAACACTTAGATCCTTCTAGCTGTAACATTCATTATCTATGAGGATCAATCGATGCGCTTGGTCTTCTAAGTGCTTTCTTATGATGACTTTTGGAGGCCATCGTTACTGAGAATGGGCTTGGGTGCAGGAACTCTGGCTACAATGTGTCATAGCCATTGGTGTCAGGCTTAGTTCAGCATGAACAGGATGGTTCCTGGTACAAGAGGAAATAGTTAGCTAAGCAGTGGCCTTCTTTGCCAAAATGCAAAGTTAAATAATGCTTAGGTGAGAGTAATGTAGCCAAAATCTCAAACTTTCATAAAACATTACTGTTTGAACCACCAAATATCTCATTGGCCTGATAAACCTCCTCATAATGCTTTCCCTGGATACAGCACACTTCCCATTCTCCCAGTGATTCAGCTATGAAACTACAAAATCTCAGCACAGTGAACTTCTCCTTCTTTGTAAAGACAGTATACAGCTTAATGGTCCAAAGGGCTGACTTTTGGCACATTGGTTACAATCTTAGCTCCATCACTTACCACTTATTGCTGAGTGACCTTGGGATGGAAATTTACCTCTTCAAGCCTCAAAGAGGCTTAAAAAAGGTGAAGAGGTCAACAGTATCAAATCTGCTAAATCAATGAAGGTTTTGACTATGGATTTAGCAACATGGACGTCTTTGATGACCTTAGTGAAAATGATTTCAGATGAATGATGGAACTGGCTGAGAATGTGGAAGAGTAAGTGGAGATAAGGAAGTGGAAAATGCAGGTAGAGACCATCCATTAAGAAAGGAAGGAAAGATACAACAGTGGCTGTAGGATGAGATGGAGTGAGAGGAGAGACTGAATGAGTTATTTGTTGCTTGGCTAGTTTTAAGATAGAAAGATTTAAGCAGGCTGAAAACCCAATGACAAAGATACAGCTGAGAGGGAGAGGTTGCCAGACAAAGAAGGTTCCTGACAAATGGGTAGGAATGAGGGAGGAGGAATTAGCCTCTGATAAGACATCCCTTTATTATAAAAGGAGGCAATTATAAAATGAGGAATAAAATATGTACCCATATAGGCACATTTATACATTTGGTGTTGGAAAGATGAGGACTCCCACATAATGGCTTCTATTTTCTCTACAAAGGAAAAGAAAAGGTCTCCAGCTGGGGGTGCAGCCACTGGAAAGATGTGAGGTTTCAAATAATCCTTGTGAAGAACCAGACAAAGAAATGACCACAGAAACAGTAAAACTTCCAGGCAGTTTGGAGGGCCCACTGAAGTGTAATCACAAAATTACAGTGGAACAAAGCTTCCCCATTGTACTGCAGATCACTCCTGCAGGTGGAGATTGAGAATGTAATATTCTCTGGCATTGTTCCTTTCCTCCTTACCTACCAGTAGGGCCTGGAATAGGTCCCCTCCACCACTCTAATTTCCCAGCAGATTCCTAAATGCTAGCTGGAGAAGGAATCAAACTGCATTTATTCTACACTAAACACTTTTGACTGGGAACATCTAGGAAAGGACTCAAAGTTTTATAAACACTCTGAGCCAGTGCTTACGGCTAAACTGTTAATTTCTCACTGGAACAATCTGTCTTTAGAAAAACAACTTCTGACAAGTAATCAGAGTTATTACAGTGGGATTCCCTTTCTAAGCAAAAATGTATAGAAACAAACAAGTAGTAAACTGGAAATCTTTACCTTAATGTGTGTGAATTATTACCTTCTTAAATCAGAAAGCACAAATATTCTTTTGTTTGAAAATCAACTGCATGGAATTATAATTTCTCAAAGTAGACACTTATTTCTTGAAGATGAGAACTCACCTATGTGATGCTTCCCAGGCTTCCTCTTCTTCTAAAAGATCTCTTATGATGTCTGAACTGGAACTAAAAGGACATGTACATCAATATTGTCAGACAATAAAAAGACCATATGGTTCCATTTATATGAAATTCTAGAAAATGCAAACTAATCTCTAGTGACAGAAAGCAAACGAACAGACCAGTGATTACCTGCAAGGGCAGGGGGTGGGCAGGAGTGATTACAAAGTGGCACAAGGAAACTGTGGGAGTGGATACTTTCATCATCTTGATTGTGAAGATGATTTCACAGCTGTATACATGTATCAAAACTCATCAAACCGCGTGTTTTAAATATTTGCAGTTTATTATACATCAATTTCAATAAAGGTGTTTAAAAAACTTAATAAACCAGCAATAATAAATAAAAAATCATTAAAGCTTAAATAAATCTGTCAACATAAAACCTGCATTCAAATACAATATAGTCGCAAGCCTTTTTAATCTCCCATGGCAACCAAAGATCAAACTGTGTTTTAAAAACTGCACTCTAGTAATAAGATTCACAAAGAGACATTAAGTTCCTAAGTGGCTTTTAGTCCCTTTGTAGCCAAAGTAAAGTAAAATTTAATTAATCTGAACTGTGCTAATAATGGAATTCGTTAAAATGCAACCTGGCTTAAAGTGTTGCATAATCTTTGGTCTATCTGCGCAGGGTACAGGGTAAAATAAGGTTATAGAGGGCATATATTATTTCTTTAAAAGAAAAAAGTGTTCCAAGGCTTTTAGCATCTTGTTCTTACCCAAATAAATTCTTACTAAATAAATGAAAAGAAAAAAAAGATGTACATCAATAGCAAAAAAGCATTTCTTTAGGCATCCAAGACAAAGAATGTGAAGGGCATTACATGAGACAACTCAGAAACAGGAGTCACTACCCCAGGGTGGAGAAGGCTAAAACAATGGAATAACTTTCTCCTGGATGAGAAACAACAGGATTGGATATGTCTGTGTCAGTCATCTTCTAATGATACTCAGATAACAAAAGTCTAAAAATTATGGAGACATAAAGTGCCAATGAATCATTCTCAACAGTTACTGACAAATGACTTTGAAGCAATGTTTGCCTGTGGTGCATGAAAACAAGGCAACAACCATCAATCAGTACTGCTCTGTGCCAAATATTGTTTTCAAGGGGTACTGCCCAAATCCCAAGCCTCTCAAGGAGCTATATGCAGGAGCCCTTCTGACTATGGTTCACATGTATAATGGCCTGTGTGGGGCGATTCCATGTAGTGACCCTCCAATATAGCTAGCTCAGTGGTTCGCAGGCATTTCAGAATAAGGATCCTCATACATTTAGTTTTGGTGGCTTGAGAAAATACATAATAACAAAGTATTATAAACTTAGTAATACTTTTAGTCTATATTTTATTCATTACAGTGGCACATGCTGGACAGTGAAAAAACAGTAGTACCTGCATTTGTGAGACACTCTTATTATGTCTAAAGAGAATTCTTTTTTTTTTTTTTAGATTTTATTTATTTGAAAGAGAGAGAGCATGGGGCGGGGGGCAGGGGGGCGGTCAGAGGGAGAAGCAGGCTCCCCGCCAAGCAGGGAGCCCGACCCAGGACTCGATCTTGGGACTCTGGGATTATGACCTGAACCGAAGGCAGACGCTTAATAGCTGAGCCTCCCAGGCGCCCCAAAACTGAAGTTGTTTTAATGTAGCTTTTTTTTTCTCTTCTCTCTCCTGTCTGATACCATCACCCACTCTTCTTTACCTGGACAGAGCTAAGGCAGTGTTTCTCAACCCTTTTCCTTATCGTTCCCCACCTAAGGAGTTTTTTAGACTTTTTCTTTTTTCATAATCGCCCTTCCATGAGATTTTTTTTTTTTAAAGATTTTATTTATTCATTTATTTGAGAGAGAGAGAGAGAGAGCACATGAGAGGGGGGAGGGTCAGAGGGAGAAGAAGACTCCCTGCTGAGCAGGGAGCCTGATGCGGGACTCGATCCCGGGACTCCAGGATCATGACCTGAGCCGAAGGCAGCCGCTTAACCAACTGAGCCACCCAGGCGCCCTCCATGAGATTTTAATACTGAAATATAATGTGTACCTGTTTATATATTATATGTGTCTGTGTATATATATGCTTTATACACAGAATAGGTTGGTTTTTTGTTTATGTGTGTGTGTGTGTGTTTTGGTCATCCAGCCTCCTCGCTGCCAAGAACCAAGTTCCATCCACTAGGGAGCTCCTATCAAGAACCCATGAGCTAAGGGAATGGGGGTTAAAGGGTGGTCATGCAGCTCTGGGTCCTGGTAGGTGTCACAGGGCTAGAAGAAATAAAGTGTGCTTTTTGCCAACACCCCCAACACACACATACAATTTTTTTTTTTTTTTAAACAGGAAGGTTACAAAGCATCCCTCCTGTTCTAGCTAAGTAAGCAGGAGATAGCTAGGCCTGTCAACTAACCTAGTAGTCTTGTGGTCAATTTACCTAGGGGCTTTCAAATCACCAGTAGAAATCACTGATTTGTTAAAGGAAAATATTTGCGGTACATTAGTGACATAAACCTAAGCAGTTTTTGCTACACTACCTCAGTGAAAACAGATGGTAGAGGAGGTTCACAAAAAACACTTCTCAAAAATGGTCTGCAATCTCCTCTTGCTCTGTGACTTCAATACCCCTGACCAGACATGCTGCCCAGTTCCTGACTTCCTCAGTTCTCGCCACCTTCCCTTCCACCCCAGCTTAGTCACTGACCTGACTGACATACACTTTGGAAGGTCTGAACTTTACCTACAGTGATGTTTCAGGATTATCTGCTATATCTGCTACTCCGATTCTAGTCACCACTAAGAAACTGAAAGTTGGGGTGCCTGGATGGCTCAGTCAGTTGAGCCTCATATTCTTGATTTCAGCTAAGGTCATGATCTCAGAGTTATGAGATCAAGCCCCAGATCAGCTTCCGTGCCGGGTGTGGCGCCTGCTTAAGATTCTCTCTCTCCCTCTTCCTCTGTCCCTCACCCCCTGCCCCCAAAAAACAACTAAGAGTTGACGCTAGTACAATTAAAACTGCAGAGAGACTCGTTGGTTCCTTTTCAAAGTAATGCATTCACCATATTCTAGTTAAAAACCGCCTTCCCAAAATTATACATACAGTTTCACAAAAGGGATTTTACAAACAGACAACTGGGCACAACAGTCAGTATTACTAAAAATAACACCAACGGAGCTCTTCCTTGTGGATAGAAGTAATTAATATTTTTGAAGTCTTAGTCATTTTACTATGCCTTGGAGATCAAAAATTGCTTTCATATACTTTCAAGACATCTAAAAAATCCTCCACAGGAGAAAATAAATTGCTCACTCTGGTATACACGGGGTCAGAACATGTACAAGCCTACACAGCTATAGCTTTTCATTCTCAGACAAGAACTTTGTCAGAGTAAATTTGAGCTCCTCTATTATTTGGGTTTGAACATTCTGGAAGACCATGTTTTAAGAAGCTGGATGAATATGAGGTCAGGTACATGAAAGTCACAGCTCTCTATATAAGGGTGTTTAAACTGTGCTCTCTGATGTTACCATTAGTCCAGGCTAGAGCAGAAATTATTCTATAGATTAAATACACATGAGAAGGACTCACGGACAAAAATATTAATCTTGAATTCTATGGAATTCCCAACCTCTGTTCAGGAAGATTCTAGTAGATCTATTTAGAACACCCACACTTAATTTTCATACCATTTAACCTTTATTTTCAGCTCAAACTTTCAGAAGTGTAAGCTAAACTGTTTTTGGTTTGTTGGGCTTGGGCCTAATTGGTCTTTCTATAATGTTTTACTCTTGTTATTCTCTCACCAAAAGCAGTAGCACAACATTTTAACAGGCAAAGGAAAACACTTTTTGCATATTTCTTTTGCAGTATCTTATTTCATCTTACTAGTCAAGATTTTACCACGAAAGCTGAAAAGATGCCTAACACCTCTCACAATGGTATGACTGATAAGACTACCCAGAGGATAAGAAATCACAGATTTTAGCGTCAAAGAGAGTCGAGTTTCAGGGCTGTTTCTGTCGCTTAATATGTAATACTGGGCAATTACTTAGTCTTTCCAAGTCTTAATATTCTCACGGGTAAGGTCAGGATGGTAACACATGCAGTTCATGGGGATATTTTAAAGATTAATCAATATAACATACAGAATGGTTAGCATAGAGCTTAGCACATAGTAAGTGTTCAATAAGTAATGCTTCCATTTTCATATAACCAATCTGGGTCTGAATTACATGAATAACTGCCTCAGCACTATGCTTCCATTTGCGCTAGGAACCCTGATCACTATGTGCTCTATTTTAATCTCTGATTTCCACTGTTTCTATGACACCAGAGTGCAAATTCATCAGAACTTGTTATTTATTCAGCATGGCAGGTACACAAGGTACCGTGGGGCAGAAAAAATGCAGCATCTGCTATAAAAAATCCTGTGGATTAAAGATTACTTATAAGTGGGAGTTTTCTATTATCTAATAGTTATCCCACCACCCTCCCCCACAAGCCCAACTCTTCTCATAATTATGGCATTAACCTGAGAGTGCTTGAGTATATCAAACCCAAAAACTCCTTAAGTATAGACCACTGGAGGACTGATGGAGAGCACACAGTGCCACCAGACAATGGTATTTAACTAAATGCTGCCGGCTCCCATGAATCCTTCCTCAAACCCTTCTTTTTAGTAATTTGTTCTTATTCTACGGGGTAAGTAGCAGCTTATATGCCTACTATGTTAGCAGCAGGCTAACAGTAAAATGTTAGAACAGTAAACATCCTATGTTCAAACAAGAAATCATTCAATGTTGACCATGACAAAAAAAAAAACATTTTTTGAGCAACTACTTCTACAAACCACTGTAATAATTCACCAAATGTGCATTAGCTTTAATGCATATAAGCAGCCTAGGTTTTATCTCCAAAGATGGACAAAGGATCAGAGACATTAATTAAAAATTAATTTAATTAATTAATTAATTAATTTAAAAAAAACCAGGGATATGAATGCAAAGCTCATCTTCTT